AATGTGAAAGTATATAAGGGTGATTGCACAAAGGACGCTCGTTAGACTGAATCGCGCTTTTATGAAACTCAGACGTCAAAGTGAATTCACTACTTTTTATACAAGCCATACTCCCAAGGAAGATTATTAGTCAAGATAATTTGGAAAATAACAGATTATGGTTTCTATTAAAATAAGTGATAAATTTAAAAATAGAATTTTTCTATATACATACACATCTTGCGCTTCTTGTCAGTTTACCTAATCATTTTTTTTTGCTTTTGTATGCACGTAACAATCTTTTTAAAACAATCTCTTTAATAAATAAAATAATAGACAAAATGAAATCTGATAATAATCTAATTTTCATTAACTTTCATTGTATTGACAGGCAGAGTAACTTTATCAGAATCTAAATAAATACAATTGTTTTAAATGAAAGTGATCGTCAGTGAAATATTTTATTATTTTAAATAACGCATGAACAACGATTGATAAAAGGAGATCATAATGTCGAGAAAGTTTTGTCAGTATATTTTAACCTTGTATATCGTTTAATTTAATAGTTTCAAATATATAATATTATATGTAATCTTATAAACATTCAATTTTATGATTTATTAATTAGGCATGCAGCGTTTGAAAATTGGTTTAGGTAAAACGCGAGACAAAAATTATAATCGACAGCGAGTAGTAATCGCAATTTCATAATAATTTTGTCCAATCAACAAGTGGCCTTGCAGTTAAGTTCAATCAATAGCGATGGCTCCTCATAATAATTGTAAACTTTGTAATGAGTTTGTGCTCTACTTATAGATGAGCGCATACGATTCTACTACACTATATTCACGGCGGGGGCTAATTACTTTTGACCATGTCATGCATGCAAATGACTCATTGTCGAATAAACTCAAGTACTATATGCTAATATTCTAAGTTATTTGAGAAACTTGGATTAAAAAATGTTTCAAAATCAGATAATGAAATTTCTCAAATTTCTCTCTTTACTAAATTTAAAAAAATTATTAAATGTCGCAGAATAATGACACAACTTGTTATAATAATATAAATATACATATATGTATATGTGAAATATCAAGAATTGAAAAAACCAAATGCGCGACTGAGCATTAATTGCATAAAATTTGCTAATAATTTATCTTCTTATGCATATAGAATGACATATAGAGAATAAAGTATGCGTAGCTCCATTAACCTGACGATCAAAATTACATCAAAAATTGGATTCAACGATCAAAGAGTTTAGTCGGTTAAGGGTTTTAAGGAAAGTGCCTCTTAAGTCTAGGATCATTCTTGATTCATGCTAAGTATCGAGCTGCTGCTATACGCAGTGAAATGGATCAAAGGAAAATTGCTCGAGCAAAGAGCTTCTTGCTGATGGTTTTAAGAGAGTGGGAAAAGGAAACGTGAACTCTTGAGGTTAAAAGTCTAAAAAGGCTAAAGGCCAAAGCTCCGTAAACCGTTTTTCATTCTCTTTGTTATCACCGGAAATCCCGGAATATCATTTCGCTACCTAAAGAAAATGAAAAGAAAATCAAGCGAATGTATTGTACAAAAAAATCTCAATCTTCATGTCATAAGATTAATTTTTTAGGAAGATTTTTAAAGTTTTCAAATAATTTTGTTATTGTTATTATTATTTATATCTTTTTTAAACAATACAAAATTGTTATTATTTTATAATAATAGAATATTGATCAATATTCTATAAATAATTAATTAATTCTATTAATATCCATATTACATATAAAGTATATGAATAGTGAATTAAAATTTTCAATTGTTCGTAAAACCAATTCTCACTCTTTCTCTCATGTGAATTTTCCTCATCTATACGTTAAGATCAATTGAGAATAAGTAATTATTCCAAAAGAGTGCGAATCTTTTTGATCCATTTTATATGTTATAAATTGTAGAAAGTTTCGTATTTATTTTTCTTGTTTAATTTATTGTTTTGTATAGTTGGAAAATAAAATTGTGTTTTGTATATATGTATAAAGTGACTTAACTTAATTCAATACATGATATACTGGAGACTCCATAAGCTTCTTCTCTCTTGTGAGGAGCTGTGGGGGAGATGAATGAAGGACCAAATGAACAAAGCATCATTAATATCCTTTAAATGTGATCTCAACCGTAGAAACTTCTCTATCGATTTGTTAGCGAATGTCAGATTCCGTCGTTTCTGTTACAAGCATCTGTTAAATGACAGAATGCTTTCAATTAGAAAATACGATTAAAAGCTATATCATTGTGCTTCTGTTTCAATAAGACATCTTCATTATCTCCCTTAAATTACATTAAGCAATATAAACCTCATCATTTGCATCTGTTTACCGGAATTCCGCTGTATAGAAATACACTTTTCATTAGCGATTGAACAGATAGATTTTAATTCTTGTGTAATTCATTGACACGGAAAAGTGAATTCGAATTTTATTTTCTTGAGATTCATTGCTTAAAAGTTAAAATATTTTTTTAGGAGAAAATGTAATATGCCACCGTAAAAAATTTTGGAAGTTAATAGTAACTGGAGTTAGGAGTAAAATTTTTGGAGTTAAAAATCAATTCCGAAAGCTGCCGAAAGTGAGTAAACTCCAAAAGGGTGGGACTTTTATAGAGTCCTGTCAGGAGTTGAAATCGCGAACTCCCCTTTTCTACAACTATAGTGTTGTAATAAGACGAAAAAAATTTTTACTCATATATTATTCCTCTGATAGTAGGGTATCACAGGATTTATTTCCTTGGCAAAACAGTTTTTTGTAATTGTTTTCTTATTCATGTGAGATTTAGAATAATATTTTTCAAAAACTTGGTGTCATAAAACAAAACTATATAAAACTCGCAGCGTCAGGGATTAAAGGACATTAATCAGTGGGAAGAAAGAGAAGTAAGTTGAATCCTAATTTATTATCACTCAGCCGGATGTAAAAGAATCTGGTCGTATGCTGTCGTCCGGAGAATTCGGTCGTTTTTTCGCCCGGCTCGGGAAAAAGAGACGTGCCAACCAAAAGGTTTTTCATACGCTTGTTTTTCTCTTCAAGGAATATTCGTTTGCGCGCGGACAGACATTCTTAAGATGCTATTCTTCTTCTCGTTCGCGGATCACACCCGAGACATATCCGTAAGAGAGGAGACTGGGTCGAGTTGACGAATGAACCACATTATGCGACACTGAGAAAAACGGTGTCCATTTTCAACTCTTCCTTATATACATATATTCCTCGCTTTTTACTTTTCATCTTTTCTCATAGTCTTCAATTTTTCTCCGACCAAATTGAGTTATTTTTTGTGGAACTATGCATTTTATTAAAATTTTCCAAGATTCAAAATCGTATTTTTTGAATTTAAAAGAAAAATTAATCATTTCAAAAATAGTAAAATAATAAAAATTAATTGATTGAATTTATATACTGGTGCGATGATATTGACAAATGAAAAATGAAAGAGGAATTTGGTTTATAGAAAAGAATATATTCTTGTGCTCATCACACCGTGAAATAATGTGCTCAAGATAAAGTCAATATGAGATGATTGATTGTGGTATGAAAATTTTCCAAATTTCGCGTCTACATGTCTATTAAATTTCATCTTTAATATGTTAAATATATTTTCGCAGTAAGGTCACAAATGTAAATATATGCAAAAGGATGGATCATCCTCTTGTGAAATTTTCCGTATGGCATTTTTTTCTTTTTCAAAGATGGGATATTTTTCTTCCGTGAGTGTAAAGAGTTTCACCGCGTTCACAGAAGGATTTCCATTCGAAGACGCGACCGAAGGATGGATGGAAGAACAAGCTGAGTGGAAAAATATACGAAAAGATTTGACCCAGGATGTCTTGTACCTTGAAATACTGTGCCCGGACCTCTCTAAGTCTAAGGGTGGTTGTCCATTTGTGAAATAAATGCGAGAAGGGTTTCATCTTAGATTTATTTGTAAAAAAAGAAAAAGTCTCGAATATTGTATAAATATTTCTAAAAATGTACGTCAGGAACGAAATATTTTTTGCGGGAATTCGCAAATCTTGCAAGAGAGAGCGAGCGAGAATATGACAAATGAGAAATCCCGGATGACTTATATTAAGATTCTTTTGCTTTTGTTTGATTCCCAGTTTTGTGATAAATCACATTCAAGGTAATATTTAATTTTTAGACGCAGAGTAAAGAAAAGTTTTCTCTTGAAATTTTTTATTTATCATATTATTGTGATGTAGATAAAAAAAACCTGCCAGAGCTCAAAAATGAGTAACGTAGGTGGCGCCATGTTCTACGTCGTTTAGAACAAAAATGAGTCCAGGTTTTTTCTTTTATTAAAAATTGTCAATTTTTGAAATATTTGTGTTGAGATTCATTAAATAATAAGAGAAAAAATGAATAGAAAATATTCGATCGATATTTGTATATACATAGTAACAGGGCCGATCATTGGTGTATTGTTGGAGTGGTTTGATAATAATAACCCGCCCCTCCCGAGAAACTCAGCAGTACTGTCCGGTAATGCGGAATCCCCAGGAAGTCGGAATCCGGGTCCCTGTGTTTCCGGTCGATTGTTTCGAAGGACTGTTTCACTATATATAGACGATTTACGGACATTCGTGTGAATTTAATTATTCGAACTAAATTCGTCGAATCTGAAACTTCACGGATCGCTGGGAAACTGATAACGAAATGTATTGTATTTTGGTATGTGAGACTTTCATGCATTCTAATGTCCCAGAATATGTAACATATAATTTCCTTTCAATTGAGAGATCTCTCTACATGTACACGCAAATAAGTTTTTTATCCTAAATCTCTAACAAATTATTTTCTCATTTCTTTCACAATTTCCTTTACATGTCAAATTTATAACGATTGTGTAAACTAATTTAGAAGAATTTGTTTATATGATTATTATATTATGTATATAGAAATTGTTAGAAAAATGAAAGAATATTTACATAAAAAGCTAATTAGTTTAAAATGTCTCTAAAATTGTATATAATTTTGATATTTCAGAAAAATGGAAAAATACTACCTTTCCGTGGGAATGGGGATCCTCTGCCTTTGTAGTGGAGTATTGTCACAATTCAGGGAAAAAAATATTAGTGAGTATATTATAATCACCAATATGAATAATTAATTTTGAGAATGCTAAAGCATTCTGATCGGTTGATTTCGTGAAATTTATATTATGCTTACTTGATATTTTCGTTCCAGGTTTATATGTGGGATTTCACTTTGAAAATAGTAGTATGATTTTCCAGAGGATTAAATCCGTGGGGTTGGTAGAACTATGGTTAATTCGACCCACGTGTTTCCCCTTCAATAAACGGCTATGGGAGCTTAAGCTTACACTTACGGTTCGACCAATAACCTCAACACACTCGGGATTCCAATTTCATTTCAAAATTCGGAAAAGCCACTTTCATTGATCTTCCAATTGTCTCTGCAATGATTTAAAATCACAAAAGAAACTTTTACCATATTTCATTCTCGATTTCTGTTCTGCCAGGAAAACTAGAGAAAATGACAGTTATATTTACAGACAAATTCCTCATTAATCTGGAAATGAGAAATTGCGTAATTTCTCTCTTTTTGCTTAAATTGAAAACTTCCTGCAAATATTGAAACTTTCTAATAACATAACTGTACAAACTTTAATCTGTGAACCCGCAACACCATTGGCAAAGATACACAAAAAAAAGCTGGTGTTATTTTTGTTGCGGGTAATTTTCTCCAATGCTAAAACCCATAAGATTTAACCCAGATTTAGGGTAAAATTTGTTGCGTGTTATTTTAACACCAATTCTGGTGTTAAAATAACACTTTGTTTTTCCTGTGTACGTGAGAAGATTTTGAAGTGATCGAAAAATCGCATTATTATAGATAGTTTCTTATTTTGCTCAAAAGTTTCAACTTTATTAAGGTACAGTAAAATTCCACCCACGTGCTATTAAAAGATGAAGTATGTGTATGCTTTACAGAACTCTGAACGTGATTCAGAACAAAGATTTCTACTGCGAAAGCAGTGACCAGAATCGGTTATTGAATTTCGCCCCCTTGATTTCAATTTTACCCTTATTTATCATTTTCATTCTCCTCCTTTTTCTACCCCCTAAATTTGAATTATCATAACAAATAATAAAATTTTAATAATAATAATAAATATTTTAATTGATAGAAAATGAATCAACACAGTAAAAAAAAGAGTCTTATTTTAAGAGGCAACATTTTCAAGGCAGCCCTTGCTGTATCTAAGCAATGAATTTACATGCAATTTGAATTTAAATACACTATGGCTAGTACTGCCTGAATTTAAGACTCATCTTAAAATAAGATTTACTTTTTACAGTGAAATTTTTTCACCTCCAAAACAAAGAAAATTCTCTTTCAAAGTTAAAGAATCATTTATTTTGTATTTTAGCGTTTTCTCATCGATTAAGAATTTCCTTTCAGCACTAAGAAGATTTAAATCTGAAGAAAATTTCTTGTGTAATGTTCATTTATTACTTTTATACAACGCAGGCGTATTGTCGTCGTTTTACGCCATTCATTGGATCAATATTGCGGATCCACTATCGACCTATTGACGAATATTCTACAAACATTTTATCCATAGTTATTAACGTTTAAAAAGTTATGCTTTTTATTTAAAGATCTTTAAGTGACCTTTACTTAAGTGACTTAATATTTTTAATTAGATTCACCCGTTTAACTTTATATCATTATAAAATTGACTCGTTTAAAAAAAAGTCCCTTTCTTAGTTTCTTAAAAACTAATATAATTTTCTACTTTATTCTAGATAAATATTCTTATTTTGAGAGGAGCATGCAAGATATAATCAAAGAAGACATTTTAATGTTGTTCTGAATTTCAAGTTTTTCTTTTGTGTATATATACAAAGCATGCGAGTGAATGTTGACGAAATTTATTATTTTCCTGATTTTGCAATATGGGAGTTAATTAATTATTCAATTCATCCGTTTTGTGAATCATTTTATTTAAATTCACAGAGACTGAATTCATTTTAATTGAAAATTGATTTTTAAAACGTAATCACATAATATCGCGCAATCAGCGCAATGGCAAAACAATCATAAAGTCAGGAGAGAGAGAGAGAAGAAACGAGGATAATTACAACGAGAGAGCAATACTCATTAAATGAATTTGCACATAGTGATTGTCAGATATTTGACAATTAATTAATTACACTAATTGCTACTTACATCGAATAAACAAAAGGAACGTAATTTAACTAAAAGAAATAATAATAAATTGACGGAAAAATACACATGCATACAGTCTTTTTGATTAACCTTAAATATTGAACAAATATTTTTTGCAAATTTAATTTCCATATTCGTCAATCACAAATTTTCATTTTCTGTGATATCTCAAGTTCACTCTTGTAAGATTTTTCAGAGACCTCCTTTTGGGAATATACTACTGATTTCAAAAAACAATTTCATTTATCAATTCGAAAATTTAATTCAATATGCATTAAACTTTACACCGAGGTTATGAAACGAATGTTACGATAAATATATTGTAAATTCAGTTGGAAAGAAAAAAGTTCATTGCAAAATGGAACAGGTCATTATTATTCAAGCGCAAATTCACTCTGACTTAATTCTCATTTTGAAAACAACGCAGGACTGTTACAATTTGGATAATTTTATTCCATGGGGTATTATCAAACGAATACTCTAAAAAAATTTACATTTCAACATGTTTTTTCACATATAAAGTTCATTCCAGCCAATATTTGAACTTTTACTTATAATTTTCCTAGCAGTGTTTCAAATTTTAATTCCAAAGGAATTAAATCCTTTTTTAACTCTTGATGCCACTCGTTTACCAGTAGTGGTTTAATTTAATTTATTGATTTACTATTTATTTTAAAAAAATTATATAATTAAAATTTTTGTAGAAAAAAAAATAAATAAAACTCTTTAACTTGAAATTTGCAATAATTAAAACTCTTTGCAAATGATTTCTTACATTCCAGTAAATTAATTACGCATCGTAGAGATTTGTGGGTTTATTAATTGTCAAAGTTTTGATTTTGCCTTCAAGTGCCAACGATTTGTTCTCTTTTGTTTCCCAATTTTTTTCTAGGCACTTTTGACAATTTTCCAAAAACATACGAAACGAGTACTTATAGTACATGCTTTTTTCTCTGTTCTTTTTGTTATGATCTCTAGACTTTCGTCATTTTATGTGGAAAATGCAAATTGCGACATTAAAAAATGTATAGTTAATTTTTTGACCTCAATTTTTTAATTAATTAATAATTTACTAAAATATTCAAACTGGTATTAAAAATTAATTAAACTTTGTTTGCGTTAATTTTCATGAAGGAATCTCGTTATTTTCTCTCTAAATCTGAATAAGTTAAAAGTTAAAAAATAAGTTCATATGAGAATGAAATTCAACTAATTGATAAGTGAATTTTCACTTATTTTAAGTATATACATGCACTTATTTTTGACGTTGAATATTTTTGAAATATACATAGGATCTAGAGAGTTGCTCCGAGAGATTAAATTGTGAAAAAAGTACGTAAAACCAAAAATCAACCAGCGAATATTTACCAAAATATATTCTTAAAATGCCTTTCAGTTCTCGTTAGAATGTGCTTAAATAAAGTCCACGAAATCGATTGGCTCTCGGTAGGTTAGATGAAATTTACGCCTCGCGATCACACTAAATTTCTGCGCGAAAAGTCGTTCGACTAAAAATTTCATTCCCACCTTCCTCGTAAGCTAGGAGGAAAATTGCGAGAATAGATTTTAGGAAACGCAATTTCTCTCTCTTTCTCTACACGAAACGCGGAGTCTCTTGAAATTTGAAAGAGAAAAAAAGTGAGAAAGTATAGAAACTCACTGAGCTTTAAAGGAGGGGATGAAGAATAAAAGGGTTTCTATAGTGTTGACTTTTTCGATTGTAAGTTCCACTGGCAACTTTTCGATCTTTATTGCCCATTCGCAACTCCCGGCCCTTAAATTGCCTCTCCTTGTCTATTTCTAATAATCCAATGCCACTGGGAAGAAAGGAAAGAATCTTTGCAATGTTGCAAGGATAAAACATAATATGTCAATCATTGTCGTTTCTAATGAAACCGGACTTCCTTCTATTCAAACTCCTATTGCCTCGAATTCCATTTTTTGCCCTCACCGCAAGAAATTGAAAGAGGAAAAAAAAGGAGTGCGGTGAATGACATTTCCACAGTCTCTATTCTTGAAGACAGTTTTCTCTGCAAAGAACCTATCAAATAATGAATGAGGGAGTAAGGAGGACTTAGTTTAGATGAACATACATATATAGTCACCCTCCGTTTATTATAGACCTCTCATTTTCTCTCATTTTCTCTCATTTTCTCTCATTTAATGGAGAGTTGAATGAAGCGACTACGAGTCAAGTACGTATACAATTCACATTTTCTGATTGGCAGCCTTTCCCGTCGTAATTGGAAAGGGTTCCTCCAACCTCTCTTCTCGTTCTGAAAACAAGAATTACGAAGTTGGTCCTAAATGGAAAGAGCATATAAGAGCAAAATTTACTCAAAATTGAAACACCAGCGATTTCCTGTGAATGAGTACTAATTATGTACATAAAATGGATGAGATCTTCCAATATGGAAAACTTACTTCATCCCCTAATTAGAAATTAAATATACATTTAAACTTTAAGAAGAAGAAAATTACTAAATTAGAAAATATATATTTACAAATATACGTTTTTGGCGGTCAAAAAAAGTGATTAGCAAATTAAGAATAAGAGAATTGCAATCCCATTTGCATTATCTTCACTTTAAAGTATTATTTTGAAGTGCATTTTGCTTCTCTTAAAATACAAAATGCCTAGTTGGCTGTTGTTTTTATTTATATACTCGCGATAATTTAATACTCAAGTCACGGACTAAACGGGCAGAAAGTGGAACTACCAGTTGGTGAAAAAGATTCCTCGAAACCATCCAAGGAATCGTCATTGACGTCTTGACTAATCTCCAAGGAAACTCGTTTTACCTTATGCGATATTGCAAACATTTTCAAACTCCCGAGACACATTCTTCTCGTTCCAAGAATGTGTCACATTTTTTACTTTCACTGTTATTTAACCTTCATATATCGAGAGAGAAATTCTTTTCATATATAAATATAAAACAAATTTATATTGAATTTTTTTCTAATACAATACATCTTCTGAATTATCGAGAGTTTAGCGTAAGGAATTTTTTTCAATTTTCTTCCTATAAGCTTAGAGGAAAAATACGTACCTATAAAAAATAATCTGTTAGCTCAATTATATCAAGAGGAAGAGAATGAAACAGAAAAACATTATTTCTTTCAAATTTTTTTCTTTATTACACTTTTCTTTCACAATGTGTTATCTGTTGTGTTTGAAGGCGATAGGAATTTCCATGGAAATCTTTCGAGTGATGGAACATAACTAGGACTAGCACTACCTTTGTGCTTCTCGTATATTAGATTATCAGAGGTTCTTCTCTGAATCGAGAGATTTAAATTGGAAAAATTTTCAAAGAAAGGAAGTTTGTGCAAGTCTTTGTTGTTTTTTGGCGTGCGATCGAACTCGAAATAGATACGTGAGGTCAATTGTTTTTTTTCAAGGTGACAACTTTGAGTGTTTCGTACCAGATAGCAATATTGTGTCTGACTCGAATTATCCTTTTGTACATCGGACAGTTTTTCATTTCTAGAAAAGTAAAAGAATACCTGTTTATTTTGTACAAAAATTTTGTTTAGCCTATTTTTTTTCTATGATTCTAATTTAATTTTTGGTTTATTTTTTTCTTATTCTTTTAATTATCCTTCTTTATTTAATTAAAACAATTATACTCCGACTTTTTTCCTTTCAGTAAATTTTTCTTTTTTTTTCTTCTTATTTTAAGTATCCCAATTTGACAGCATTGTATTTTTAACTCAAGTATGCGAAAAAAGATTGGGAGCTTACAGCTCATTATTTTTCGGCGGAACATCCTTGACGTCTTGTACGGGAATCTCAGCATTGTGACTATCCAATTTCTGTTCATGGCGAATTGAATTCACATTTTCCGATGTTTCAGTTTCCGCTCGAAGAATTTCCACCTCTTTCGCTTTGTTGAATTTGTCGTTTCGCACAATCTCTTCTTCTTCATCTTCGACTGTTTTGTCTGGATCTGTCGCACTCTGAAAATGGTTAAAATTTCAGTGATAGTTTCTAGCATAGAATCCTTTTGTTATAAGCCTGCTACTTTTAATTACTGCATACTCTTTTTTGAAACAATTACCTCCTGGATAGATTTCTTCAATTTCTTTGTTGTTTCTGAGTTATCTACATTGAAAGATGCTTGGATTCTTTTCCATTCTTCAATAAAAGCATTCCTTGGAACATTTTCCAAAAATAGGTCAAACCATACAAATTAGTAGTGAATTTTGTAATTAATTAATTTTTATGTCGGGAAATTTTGCGTTTTAAATGATTCTTTTTAAAAATTTTATTTATGCAAACACAAAGTGAAACTAATTTAGGTGACTTGATGAGTACAGATTGTATTATTGGAATGAAAGCAATCTCATGGTATAGTGTATATTTATACATATATATTTCTTTTTGCCCGATGAAGTAAACACGTTGATTGCACGTACAGATTGATGGGTTGTCCTTTCTTCAGATTCGTGTTCTTGTGAAGAACAGCATCGCAATCCGAATACGTTCTCTTGATCGAAATTCGTTCCTTGTCTCGATGTTTTCTCAATTCATCGGCTATCAAACGTTGAATCATTTCATCCAGAAATCCTTCATCTTTGCCTGACTGTCCGCAGCAATATGAATTTCTAAAAAAGTATCACGTCTTTTATTGCTCATGAAACATATCTAGAAAAATTGACTAATGGATTATATTATTTTTACTTGATTAATTTCTTTTTATATTTTTTGAAAATCATGAAAAACTCACTTACGAATTTGATTCTTGACCATTTTTGTATCATCTTGTTTTTTCTTTTTCAATTTAAAAACACAAATTCCAAATGATCCGTTTAAGTGCAATTGCAGCTGTTGCATTTTTTTTATTGGATGAGCTTCAATTTCCTTTTAATAAGAAGAAGATTAAAGGTGAATTATAATTTGACTGCGCACTCCGGGAATTCAATGGAGAAATGAAAAAAATACTGCTTATGAGAAATGAAATCAAGTTGAAAGTGAATAAATTGTCCGTTTTTTATTGATGTTGAAGTATTTTTATTGTTTTATTATTTTTCCAATAATCAGAATAATTATTATTATCAAATAATTGTTCACTTATACTTTATAAAATAATTTTTTAACACATTTTTTACACGTAAAATCTTACGTAACACATTTATTAAGTATTCATTTATTATTTATTATTATTGTTTATTATATTCAACATTTTATCATTATTTATTGTTTTCATATATATTTTTTGTTTTCATGCAGCTTAAAATAAAAGAAAATAAATATTGTTAAGTTCAAATAAAACGAAAATTGCCGGCCTGTTTGTCAGAGAGGATGCGATCAATTAAATTCATTTGTTCATAGTTTGCGTGAATATGGTTCCACTTACACATCAGTAAAATATAACCTGATTGACCTCTTTTTTTGTCGATAATCATGATAAAAAATCTCACACAAAATTGATGAAACAGAAATCTTATTTAATTCAAAAAGTAATAAAGAAATAAATAATAGAAAATAATAAATAAAAATACAATAAGTAATAACGTGTTTTAATTTTTATATTATATTTTATAAAAAGGCATATTTCTCATTGTGAAACATAAACATGTATCATCAGTGAAGAAATTATATTCTATTCAAAATGAAAATATAATTAATATCAAATTAAAATAAAATAATAATAAATTATTTTACCGTTAATATCCGTTTCCGTTTGTTGAAACAATTTCTCTTCTAATTCGCCAGTTAAATTATTTAATTTGGTGTTAATTAATCCTGACAGATTATTAGTTAAACTTTTTTTACGATTTAAATCTTTATTGAGTAATCGTGATGTGACTTGTGGAAATATTATTTTTTTCGATATTAACGTGATTCCTTTCCAGAGAATAATTGATGCTATCAATACGAGCGTTGAATATAAAATTAATGTTATCATATCCCAATTATTTAGATTTACCAACTCCGAAATGTTTTTCATTTTCCGATAAAAATATTTGACCTTTTTTCTTTTCACTATTTTCCTGGTAAACATTTAAGTACTTGAAATTTTGAGTGACACATTGGTTACGACTTGAAACATCCAACAGTCAAATGTTTTTTTTTTTTTAAATTTTAATTCATTATTATATGATGATTTGGTATTTTTGAGAAATTATACATAAAATAATATGATAACAATGAAATAATAATAATTTTTAAAAAGTAAAGATAATATAATATTTTCAAATGAATTTGATGTTGCTTTGTGAAAAAATAAACAAACTACTTACAAGCGTAAAATAATTTTCATGGTCTTTTCCCGACATTGAGGGAATTTTGAGCAAAATTCTGTTCACTTATATAATGTCAATTTATTCTGTAATATTCAAAATGATGACGAGAGTGATGTTGACGTTTCTGAAAGCTCCTGAGTTTCAGCGTCAAGTACAAATTGTGGTTATGCTCATCAAGTACAGCGTCAGTTCAAGAGTTTATTCAAACAAATAGGTGCTTTTTTAAGTTTTCTGTGATGACAAAAAATTTTTCTAGAACGGAAAAGATGCAAAAAATTGTCATATAATTTTACATTTACAAGTTTCAAATTTCTTTTTATTAATAAATACTTTTTAAAAAAATATTAAATTTATTAGGTATTGTATTTCTATATAAAAATAAAAAATTATTTACATAAAAATTGTTGTTTATAGAGAATAAATAATAATTCGTCTGGAAAACAAACTTTAGTAAAAATAGTGTAGAGGACAGAGAGAAAGATTTGTTTCATGCGTTAACCAATGACAATGTTTTCTTTATTTTGCAATTTGATATTTAAACCACTGAGAGAAAAATTAATTTCCATTCTCTCTAAATTTGAATCAGCGGAAAATCGCTGATTGGGCGGCTATAAGTATGCAGCTGATTCAAGCAGCGTATATATACATTGATAATTAGCGCATATAAACTATTTCATCAGTGTATATACGCTGTTTGAATCAGCTGCATACTTATAGCTGCAAATTAGCGACGTTTCGCTGATTCAAATTTAGAGAGTTGTTTTTGTAAAAATATGTTTTCTAAAAAATGATAAGTCTTTGTAAAAATTATTTTTAAACATTCAAAATGCTATTAATTTTAAACTAATAATAATTTTAAACTTTCAATTTGGTAAAATTATTATTAATCGAAAGTTGAAAAACTTACTTTTTCCTGTATAAGAGAAGCGTGAATTATTTTTTCTCTCGGTGGATATTTTAATGAAAAAAAAGAAAGAAAAACTAAAGACTGCTTTTCTTTTTTTTCCGATGAGAAAATATTGTCAATTGTCTTTTAGGCACCGAGACTGATGCAGTTCAAGCGCTTTTGGCACGATATCTTCAACGTCGTCTACAAGGCACACAATTTTCCACACCACCACCGCCAGCCGTTTTATTCAGTACAAATCATCAATCTCGAATTCGTACGACACCTCAAAAATTTCTCAATTCTCAAGAAAATAATGACGATCCACAGAAAGAACGACGAGATCGGCGAGATGACTATGAGGATTATGAGGATGATCTTCAAGGATTTGAAGATAGTGCCAAAAGCAGAACAAGGATCGATCTTCTTGCCGGTGACGTTGCATTTTTATTAGTTTCATTGTTTTTTCTTTATTTATTAATTATTATTTATCCCGGTTCGTTTATCAAATTTCAAATTGGGTTGTTCATTTTTTAAATAAATTTTTTTTTATTTCATAATATACATATACAGTCAATATAACAAAAAATTATTTAAGGGCATATTTCTTTCTTTAAATAATTTTTTCTTAAAATTTGTTGTATAATAAAAAAAATTTAAGACATGTAAATTATGCTTTTTCTATTTCCGGATTCATATAAATATTTTCAATCAACAAATATTCGAAACGTTTTTATTTTTATTCCCTTTTGGAAATTTAACAAAATAATTGAGACAAAGAAATTGTTATATAAAATGTGTATAAAAAGTCAAAAAAAAAAAGAAAAAAAAAAGAAAAAAATGAGAGTCGATGTTATTTTTTGGTTAAACTTTGGAGAGCATGAATATTCGTTGTATACGTGCGCACATAGAGGTAGCTCGAAACGTTATATACGCGATATAGTTACGAATGTATGAATAGATTTGAATAGATTCAGCATTCAACTGCCGAGGTTGAGAATATAGGGGTAAAATTACGCTTGACCGATGATAATATGATAACAAGTGTGAATAGAGGCGTGCAATGACGTCACGATGCCTTTTCAAGGTGTTCTCAATTCACCTGCGAAGCAAAATGAACAAGCAAATATGCCTATAATATGCTCCAATTATTTCATAGCATTCAGTTTTCAATTATATATAACATATGTTTTTTTTGAAAAATAAATTTGAAAATTTAATTCAATTGATTTTGTTTCAAACTTTATAAAAAATATTGTAAAAATTCATAGTAAAGATAAAAATCTACTACCAATCTTTATATTATTTTATTAAATTTTCTTATTAGGAGTTTTATAGATTTTTTAAAAATTTTATGTGAAATAATGATACAGAGATAAAAAAGAGGATAATGAAATTTTGCAGTTTAAACAAATTGGCATGTGGCCAATTGTTATCCTGTTTTGTGTACCTACTTGCTCTCAAATAGAAACAATTGGCCAAATATAAAGGGAGACAAGGATGAGGGATACTCCTGAGTACTGGAAATTTTGAGCTTGAACGTGTTTTAGAGTATAAATCTGAACTTTACAAACGTGCTTCGCGCTCAACGAATCGAGTTGTTCAGAAGGGTAAGAGAGTTTAAAGGGCTTTTCCACGGTTATTATATTTTCTGTTTGTCAAACGAATTCAACCATATTCGAACCAAGTTCACCTTTAATGAATAAACAACATGTCGTTTGCTTTGAGATTAATGTCACTTTATTTGTTACAATACTTTTTTTTGTAGCCGCCCCTAAAAAGTAAGAGGAAATTAATAAAGGAAAAATAGAGAATGAAAGAAGATGAAGGGAAGAAATTGAAAAATAGAGGAAAATAATAGGAACACTGAAAAAATTTTATGGTCCGAGCAATAGTACAACCAAACTTTGGTTAGGCTAACCAAACAATTCGGTTGGCACAACCAAAGTTTGGTTATACTGACCAAACATTTTTTTTAGTGAACAAATAACTGAAAAGAAGAAGCAAAAAAAGAATACCACAAGAGATAAGAAAACGATAAAAGATGTAAAAGTATAATATAATAAAAGAAGAAAATGAAATAGGGAACAAAAAGAACAGAAGACATAAAAAGAAAAATTAAACAAAACAAAACGCAATCAGAAAAAGAAAAAAAAGATGACGAAAAGTTGTATAAACAGTGTAACTGAGGGTAAAATGAGATAAAAGTGTGGTAAGAGCGCTATTACAAACAAAAAAGGTAACAGGATTACAAATGCAGGAGGGAATTGTGCGAAAAAGGAGAAAAATGAGGATTAAGAGAGAAAAAAATTAAACGCTGGAGAAAAACCTCAAAAAACGAAAATGCAATATTAATGAAATAAAAAAAGTGATGTAAAATAAAATAAAATGATACACACATTTGTTTAAATAAATGAAAGGAGAGATCGACTAAACCTCTGGTAGATAGCAAATATTTAAGGAAAGTTTCATTTGGCAAATACACCAACAGTACAAGCTCAGACGAATGTTTGATGTATGTACGACGAAACTTGGACTTGGCATTTTGAGTGTTATACACAAAGTAAGAAAAACATGAAAATTAGTCATTAATATTAAAATTACATATAAGAATTTAGAATGTTTTCAAAGATTCACTAAAATGTGAAATTTTTTCGTCTCAATAAATTGAGACCATAACTACAGTTTATACAAAGTGTGACACTAGTGTCCCACAAAATTGGAAAATAAAAAATATTCCAATCTGAAAAACCAGTTAAAAAAAGAAAAAAGTATATAAGTAGATACACAAAAAGATAGAAAAAAAATTATAGCCTTTATCAATAAAAATCAAAGCTCTATGTAGATGCGAAACAAAGTTCTGAAAAGGAGGTATAAACAGAAAAGAGATAAAGAATGAGAGTAACTCTAAAGTATATAAGGTATTTGGCTTCCGTCAGGACTTAATTACACTTTTTGTGCAAATATTGCCCATGACGTGTTTAAATCGTAACAAAGTCAGGAGAGAGAAAGGTGGCGATAGTCTCATAGAATAGGGAGGTGTGAAAACCGTTAGTGATAATCCAACTTGCTTGTATGCATAATTGTATTTGTATACTTGGTATACAATATGGTCTTCTGAACATTATTCCAGTTCTCGCATTAGCATGAGGAGAATTTCGAGGACGTTCGACTGTTCCTTTGCTCCTGTTAACTACACCCTTCAACTGAATCCTGAAGGACTATTCCCTCCACTTGTCCGAAAAGTAATTAAGACAGAACAATTAATATCAAAGCCTCACTTGGACCCTTTTGCTCCGCGGGCTCAAGCTTATCGTCGAAAACGTCAATTAAAGTTCCCAAGTTCTGCGTCGTCGAGAATTCTCTCTCTCATTTTTGGCTTCCATTCTCAGCTGATAAATCTCTTCTTTCACAAATTAATTGTGAAAACTGTAATATACATTTTTCTGGAAAAAAAATTATTTACCAAAGTTTCAATAATAGTAATTTATTGATTTTTAACATTTAATTTGTAAAATCGGACTATATAATATTTAGTTCATGTCATCAAACTTTATTGCTTTTCAGCAGTCAGAGGCATTGCTTACAGATGCTAAGATCAAAATAAATTTTGTATTTTTGGAAAAATTTTCCATTTTTTAAATTTGAGAGATAATCGTTCGGGAATACTGCCTTACGTAATTCATGAATGCCCCCTAACAGATCAAACTTGTTCTATGCGCGCCTACAAATCTGGTATTATTTGTCTCGAATTATTCGCGACAGCGAATCACATTCATTACGAAAGTTAATCAAGTTCCAGAAGGATCCTTCAGAACCAAATTATTCACGTTTATCTTCATTTTTCCTTAATGAACCCATCTTATTTTCTTACATTGATTTATTATCGCATTTACTTTATACCTTTCTTGAATTTAATATTTACTTGCAATCTTAATTATCTTATTAAATTATTATTATTTATTTCTTCATTATATATTAAATTTCTATTAAATATGTGGAATGGATAAAACTTATAGGATTTTTTTATATTCTCTATTATTGTTTATATTTTTCTTATATCCACAGAATATTCCCGTTATGAAGTGTAAATATAAATGAAATTTCTCTTTAATCACATTTAAAATCTTGTTAAATCAATGTGAAAAAAAGGTACCAACAACTTTTCAACTTTCTAACTTAAATAAGTCGACGAGATTTGATTAATTCCTGTTTGACATAAATTTTATTACTATGTGTTTGACAAAATATTGAGTTCCATATCGTAAAAGATTTTTGATCTTTGATAAACTCTGAATTTTTTTCCCAGAATATTGAGACCGTATAGATCTCAAAGTAATTAGTAGAAAACTTTATTTTTTAAATTAAGAAAATTTCTTCAAATTTTTATATGATTGGAAAGGAACATTTCAGATCTTATTTTTAATTAATCTCTATTAATTTTATTTTACTCTAACAAATGCAAGTAAAATGACGACAAAAAATAATTTATTTAGAAACGCAATTATTTGTCTACCTATATCAATTGAATTTTTTAGTTTATGTAATTATTTTTTTTATTATTAGAATATATTTTTTACATATAAACATAGTATGCTTGTTAATGAAGTTATTGATTTGCTCCTTTAATTATTAATTAATTTATTTATTTTACTAATTAATTGATTCATTTAACAATTATTTAGTTTTTTACTATTTAAATAACTAATTTACCCTGCAAATGTTTAATGTGTGTTCGTTTTTTACCTACATTCCTGTCAATATCAATTTCTAATTTGAACTTTGTCGTAAGTGCAGCTACTGCAAACGCAGACGCAATACCTATTAGCATTTGCTATAGCGATTTTTAATAAGATTATCATATATACTTATAAAATTATTCCATTTCCTTTCGTGAAGTTGTAAACCTAATTCAAATTGCAAACGGCGAGTGTCGATCTTGTTTGGCACAAGCCGACGAGTTTTCTTGATAATTAAGAACAAATTGCCAATACACCTGATAGAAATGTCTTATAACCAATGAACTCGACTTATCTGGAGAAATGAACTCGTCGTGAAAATGAGAGCAAGTTTTATGCTTTGCCAAGGCCGGCATTACCTTGCAGAGAAAGTGCTTTGGATTTTGCATATATTAAAGTTTATTAACATCTTCCGCCTCTCTAAGAAAATGTCAAAAATTCCAAAAAAATTTCTTTAATCATATTATAAAGTTGTGTCCACAAAATATATATAATAGTTTTTTTTATTTTACTACAAAAAAAATTATCTTATCGATTTGACATAAATCCCCAAGCAAAAATTTACAACCGACGCAGTGTTGCGCCAGTACTGGCAATTGCTGGTAAAGTACTGACCGCCAATATTGAACCAATACTGGCATATGTTTGGGATGATAACGTTTATTAGTACTGGTACTAGTTCAATACTGGAATT